GATTCTACATCAGCTTTTCTATTATGTGATCCTTATGACAGTAAATGGAAATTATGTCCAAGGTATTGGGATTTATATTCCTACTATTGGAATTAGTTTTTTTTATACCCTATTGTACATTGTGCTTTTATTAGTAGTTATTACAAGTACTGAGATACGTATTTTCATTGAATAGGTAAAGCTCGAATTATTCAAGCTCCACCGAATCCACTGTACGTTGTGAGTGGTGCGACAGCCAGGTTCGTTTGGGATTACACCGTAGACAACAGGAAGGAAGAATTTCAGTTAAGTTCACCTACATGGAACTATAACCATGTTAATGAAACACCTGTTGTAATTGGATATGATCATGTCTTAATAGACTGGAGATGGACAATCAGTAATGGGACGTGTCCTACCAGACTTTTATACCCTACCACTCGAGTCAGTAGAGAGTCCAATGCTACCCTGGTTATCTCTAATGCCACTACTGCTGATAGTGGAATATACGGGATGATTTTATTATTGAAGACTTTACCGCCAATAGCAAGGAAAATTCAGCTTTTTGTTACAAGTAAGTCTTTTGGACTATGTTACGTTTTAAACCTTTAAAAACAACTTGCTTGCTTAGAGTTTGAGAAAAATAAAAAAAAACTAAACTAAAAATCGTCATCATTTTTTTACGCAATAACAGTTACAGTAAGTTATTCTGCCACCAATCAGACAGTATTCATTTTACTCTTTGCCTCCACTATTGTAAGCGTACATAGAGTGGAAAGAAGTCGAAGCAAGGGAATCATATCAAGAGTAAATAGGTTTTTCTATGCTCTCTAAGAAGGTAGCAACTCAAAGAGCAGTCTGCCACTCATTTAGTTTATTGTTTATTGTTATTGTAGTAGTCAAATTAAAATTATACGTTTTTCATTGTAGATACCGCCACTTATACTATAAACGGATTATAAATAAAAAATAAACATAAATAGAGTTACTCTAAATACACTCGTATATGCATAATTTGTTCATAACAGCGCGTCCACAATTCACCAGACAATTTCAAGCAAACAATATATTGCGTGAGGGAGAAGATCTGCGTATCAATTGTTCTGCAATTGGAAATCCAACTCCAAACATCACTTGGGTGTTACTGAAAGACCAAGCCAAGGAAATAAAAAGCCAAGGAGTAGGTTTTGCTGACCTCGTTATCCAGAACATTACAAGACATCAAAATGGGACGTATCAGTGCCAGGCAACCAACAACCCAAATGAGTATCCAGTGGAAACTCAAACACAAGTCACTGTATGGTGTAGGTATTAAAATTATTAATTTTTCGAATAATATAATATTTGTTTCAATTCTGCCCTTGTTATCTTAATTGCTTTCAATTCCTGCAACTGAACTATGGAAGAAATAGCTCTTCAAAAATTATGCTTTAGTTTTTTATGTTTATGTATTTATTTATTCCTTTAGTTATTTTAGTTTGCTATTTCCTTTGTCGTAGACAAACCTAATATAACGTTTCTAAACTGGACTGTCGACGAAAAGAT